AATGATGCTGTTTACACGATTATCGCTGCTCGTGTTAAGGGCCGTCAAAACTCATAAATTGCTTCTCCGGCTAAAATTTGTATTTATTTATTTTTTGTGTGTTCCAAAAAAATACGCTAAGAATTAAAACTCATGAATTTGAGAAGCTACTATACGACATTTAACCCTTCAATATGTCTTCAAAGAGACCATGACGAGAGAAAGTGGTGCTAGTGCTTCCAGCATAAGCACAAGTCACTATCTATCCAGGAAAAGGGTGAATTTCCATGGTCCGCACTGGTCAGGTCCCAGGTTGCCGGACGAGAGGTACAACCTGTAATATATATATATATTAAATATATATTATACTGATATATATTTATACGTATATATATATATATATATATATATATATATATATATATATATATATATATATATATATATATATATATATATATATATATATATATATATATATATATATATATATATATATATATATACAGTTGTACCCCACTTAACGCGGTCAATAGAACCCAGAGAGTCCCGTGTTAAGTGAAATCCGCGTTAAGTGAACAACAGAACATATGGGATTAATTCCAATAGAAACCGGCCCGACCCCCAAACTCCACTTTTTGAAGACACATAACTATGTTGTTGTAAAAATAACATTTAATTTTATGATGGTACATGCACACAATTAATACTTAAGAGAAATAGAGAAATACAGTCGCCAAGTTAATGTCCATTCAAATAATGGACTCAACTCCCTCCCCTCTCACACTACACTGCCGGCTCTTCCCTCTCTGAGAAATTTTTGGGGGAAAACCACTAAATTTTAATAAATAATACCTCAAACTAAAGTTAGGATAATATAATTGACATTGCTGGATTCCTTGTAAGACCAGGAATATTTTGAATATAAATGTCATATATTTTGCACAAAAGATAACATATTTACTCAAGAGTGAACATTTTATCTAAAATTTGTATGTCTAATGCAAAATATGATGTTTATATTCAAAATGATCACCAAATTATAAGAATTCCAGCAATGTAAATTATATTCTGACTGGGTAATTTGTATGAATTTTATGAGCTAAAACAAATATCTTCAGTTAATTAAAAAAAAAAAATCTTCACGACACTATCTGTCAATCAAAGTACCCCACCTTGCCTTCCCCATCTTCCAACCGCGTGGTCAGTCCCAACCCTCCCCCCCCACCCCCCACCAATCATCCCTTCAAGAGAAAGAGTGGGTAAAAAATTTTTTTTTTTAACATTTTGTATTAAATGATACCTCAGATTAAAGTTAGGATAATATAATTGACATTGCTGGATTCCTTGTAAGACCAGGAATATTTTGAATATAAATGTCATATATTTTGCACAAAAGATAACATATTTACTCAAGAGTGAACATTTTATCTAAAATTTGTATGTCTAATGCAAAATATATGATGTTTATATTCAAAATGATCATCAAATTATAAGAATTCCAGCAATGTAAATTATATTCTGACCGGGTAATTTGTATGAATTTTATGAGCTAAAACAAATATCTTCAGTTAATAAAAAAAAAAAAAATTCTTCACAGGGTAACAGATGGTCGGTCGGTCCCTCCCTCCCCCCCACCCCCCACCAACCGTCCCAAGGAGATGTGTGGGAAAACCAGAATACTTAACTTTTTTGTGATAAATAATACCTCAAACTAAAGTTAGGATAATATAATTGACATTGCTGGATTCCTTGTAAGACCAGGAATATTTTGAATATAAATGTCATATATTTTGCACAAAAGATAACATATTTACTCAAGAGTAAACATTTTATCTAAAATTTGTATGTCTAATGCAAAATATATGATGTTTATATTCAAAATGATCACCAAATTATAAGAATTCCAGCAATGTAAATTATATTCTGGCCGGGTAATTTGTATGAATTTTATGAGCTAAAACAAATATCTTCAGTTAATAAAAAAAAAAATATTCTTCACGACACTATCTGTCAATCAAAGTACCCCACCTTGCCTCCCCCCTCTTCCAACCGCGCGGTCAGTCCCAACCCTCCCCCCCACCCCCCACCAATCCTCCCTTCAAGAGAAAGGTGGGTGAAAAAAATAAATTTTAACATTTTGTATTAAATAATACCTCAGATTAAAGTTAGGATAATATAATTGACATTGCTGGATTCCTTGTAAGACCAGGAATATTTTGAATATAAACGTCATATATTTTGCACAAAAGATAACATACTTACTCAGAGTGAACATTTTATCTAAAAATTTTATGTCTAATGCAAAATATATGATGTTTATATTCAAAATGATCATCAAATTGTAAGAATTCCAGCAATGTAAATTATATTCTGGCCGGGTAATTTGTATGAATTTTATGAGCTAAAATAAAAATCTTCAGTTAATAAAAAAAAATATTCTTCACACGGTAACAGATGGTCGGTCGCCGGTCCCTCCCTCCCTCCCCCCACCCCCCACCAACGTCCCTACTAGATAAATGTGTGGGAATACCAGACTGTTTACCTTTTTAGTAATAAATAATAAATCAGACTAAAGTTAGGATAATATAATTGACATTGCTGGATTCCTTGTAAGACCAGGAATATTTTGAATATAAATATCATATTTTGCACAATAGATAACATATTTACTCAAGAGTAAACATTATATCTAAAATTTGTATGTCTAATGCAAAATCTATGATGTTTATATTCAAAATGATCATCATATTGTAAGAATTCCAGCAATGTAAATTATATTCTGGCCGGGTAATTTGTATGAATTTTATGACCTAAAACAGGCAGGCAGGCGGGTAGCCGGTGGGGCGAATGTAAAATTAGCATCTCGAGCCCGACACCCTGCGCATATACGTGGAAAAAACCCGCGTTAAGTGAAAGTTCCGCTCTGGCGAGGCACCGCGTATACGTGAAATCGTGCTAAGTTTCATTATTGTTTATTACTGAATATGTATTTGATTGAATTAATGATTATATATGTGAAATGAACAATGCAATTCATTAATAATACGTAGAATATTAAAACACACACGAGGATAATAGACGACATTGTTGTCGGTGTTTACACCCAATGTATATGTGCGCACTCAAGGAAACATAGTCATTTATCTTAATATGTACAAAAGATTCATTATTGTTTATTACTTACTATGTATTTGATTGAATTAATGATTATATATGTGAAATGAACAATGCAATTCATTAATAATACGTAGAATATTAAAACACACACGAGGAGACAAGACGGTATTGTTTTCATGAGTGACAATGGTTTTACATAAGAAACTGAAGAAAATAAGACCCTGGTTGCAGCTGTAGTGAACTTAATTTAAAAAAATTGAATACCTGTATGTATGTTTCAAGTAATGTTATTTAATGTTAATAAATGGAACACTAGGAGTAGCTAACCACTAATGGTAAAGAAATAAGACGAGACGATTGGGAACGCCAACGTATGAACAGTAAATGCGTATACAGTGACCCCTCCGTTAACGAACTCAATCCGTTCCAGAAGGTCGTTCGTTCGTTAACCGAAAAGTTCGTTAACCGAAACCATTGTTTTAATGGGTTTTTGGGTAATTGGTTCCAGCTCACCGAAAATTTCCTAAATTCAACAAAAATGGTAGAAAAGTTCACTTACTTTGAGGTGTGTATGTAGAAGGCTCCTGGATGATGATGATGATGATGATGGGATTTAGAATGGGGGTGGAGGAGAAGGAAGAAGAGAAGGCATTGGGGTGGGAGAGAAGTCACCCCATGGCGCCATTTCACCCATAAAATTTTAGCTCTCTTGGTGTAATTCAAGATTATTTTCTTTAAATCAACACTGCACTGCATTATATATTGTCAATATGTAAAATATATTTCAAAATGACCAATAATTTGCTTGGAAACACAGAAAAAAAGCGTTTAGTTGAAGAGAGTCTCAAGCAAGATGTTACCTCCAGTGAAAACAGAGAAAGACTAACTCCTGTTTGCTGTGTTAAGAGGCTGGATGTCGCCCATTAAACTAGTCACTTTACCTTCAATTATGTTCAATAATTGTTAAAATGACTAAAAAATTGAATACTAAACTTTAAAAATTATTGAATAGTATAAACTTCTTGATATTTACTAAAATAATAAGGAATTTAAGCCCTAGAACCGATTAATGTATTGGCGGACTGATACTAAAGCTCGTTGCCCGTTCAGTGCAAGCGAAAACATGTTGAGGTCGATTCGTAAGAACTTCGTTAACCGAATTTTTTTTCGTTAACCGAATTGAAGATCCTTATGTAAGGCAGTTCGTTAATCGAAATTACGTTAACCGAGGTGTTCGTTAAACGAGGGGTCACTGTATGTGAAAACCTATCGTCATTTCTCAACATATGAATATGAAAGCAACACTTATTTACTGTTCATATATGTTTTTAATAATATTTACGAATATAAAACTAAAATTCTATTCACCAATGGCGGTAAAGTCTAAAACATAAGGACAGCCAGTGAATATTGTGTGAGTTTTTACTCAGATGATGAAGTCATCAGGTTCAACTCTGGCTGAAGCTGTAGCTTTCCATAAAGCTGTTGCTGAACCTGAAGTTGATGTTGAAGCTGCTTATAATGCAGAATTTGATGGTGTAGCTGAAGTTGATGGTTTAGGCCTTCGAATAATATAGCTCTCGAAAGAATCTTGCACAACTGTTTTCTTTTCTCATTACAGGTATACATTTTTATGTAGAGATCATTTTCGTTTATTTAAATTTTAAGGCTTTGTTCTGTTAATGGATCCACTTGAGACAATATGTTCATTGCTTGCTCCATATAATATCCACAAACCTCTCTGGCCTTTTCATATCGTCCAACACATCTAGTTTCTCGGCTAAGCTTAGACACTTTCTTTTAGCTTTTGAAACGACACTACCATCACTTGCTCTCTTGCTCATGTTGAATAGGGATGCAAAAATGCTGTAAGAAACCTGAGAAAGTATTTCTCCAGTTCCTGTTCTAGTTGCGTGAAAACAAAAGGTCCGCCAAGCTCGGAGTGTTGTTTACCACTCATTAGCAAGGCAGCTTCTTTGCACAAGGTGATCTTCATTTTTTTACAGTAATTTTTTTTTTTATAATACATATCGAGATTTAGTTACTATTTATATGAAAATGTAATTTTATTTTATTTTATGATATTTTGGTCGTAAATATGAATGAAATAAGGATGTAAACTGAATTGGGTCCTAAATTATCTAGGGTTTCAAATACGAATGAAATAAGGATGTAAACTGAATCAGGTCCGAAATTATCTAGGGTTTCAAATACGAAAAGCTGTTGGACGAATCATTGTTTTCTGAGGCTTTACTGTACTGTAGTTGTATTGTAGTGTAGTATCACTGGAAAATAATGCTATGAGATGTTATAAATGTATTTATTTTTGGAATTATTATTCTGATAATTATTTGTATGACCTACGTGCTCTCCCAAACATAAAGCCTGATGACTGACTGTATGTGTGTTGCCAACTTCTTATGAAGAGTAATGTAAATAAAATAAAGTCTAAAGGAATTATTTATAGGAAATAAGTATTATGGTCAGTAAATAAATTCATTATTGGCCAACTTGGACACAAAAGCAAGTGGTAAAATGACCCCTAAGTGAGTAGTGACAGCGAGTGCTCGATAGTAAAAAAAAAAAACTTTCCCCTTATTAATCTCGTTACTGAGGCACCACTGAAGAATATAGAGGGACAATGTATAGTTTTCCTTACGTCTTTTTTATTGTTTTATCATTTATAAAGGTTAAAAATTATTTTTGGAAAAGTTCATTTTTTGCTTTTAACCCCGCGTTGGGGGTATGGCCGTCGGCACCCTAGCCTGGAGCGTAAAGGGTTAAAACAATCCTCTTACACACACTTCCACCTTACCATTAAACATATTCTCAAATTATTAATTTCACATTTTTAATGTACATTGTACTTGTCTTTCTTTCCAGGGCTAATCCTTCTTCTTGAAAGTACAGGGTACTTTGATAATTCTTCTTTTACTTATACAGTATTTATTTGTTTATGCCCTTTGCCATTGGTCAGTTCTCTAGCTCGTCAGGCATGTAATGCTGTTGACGAGCACACAGGCTTTTGGATGCACCTGAACATTTGTCAATGTTGGTTAAGTCTGGTCTTGAATGAGCTCACACCTAGTGCCATCACAACATTCTCTGGCAGGTTATTCCAGTAGTTTTGTACAACTCTTACTCCAAAAAAATTAGCTCTGACAATTTTCTGTTGCTTCATCAACTTTTCACACCAAGCTGTCCTCTAGTTGGTTGTTGTTGCTTCACGTGGTTGTGATCTTAATGGAGCCTGAAGGGCATTTGTTAGCTGGTTACTCTGAGATCTTTTTGTGGAAATAATGCCATAAGATTATCTGTGTTGAGTGTATGTAGTAAGTAGAAGAGTTGTAAAGTGTTTGGGGCAGGATTGCCTTAAGCACAGGTGGATTTTTGGTGTACTTGATGTTGAGAAAATTTCAGAAAGTTGGTGTCCATAGCATTATCTGGTGAGGTGTGAAGTACTTTCTTTTCTATAGTGAAGAAGGTTTCTAACTGTGTACAAGTGGTGGTGAGTTAAGTATTTTATTTGGTTGTAGTTTTGGATGAAGGAGTTGCTACATGGTTAAATAATTATGTTTATAGACGGGTTTGTTGAGAAGTGTAGGAGGCATATTTTTTATTATGTAGGAATTATGATGTGCTGTTGTGTTTTTCTCTGTCTAAAGTAGATGATGGCTTAATCTGAAATTTCAGAAATAAGTGTGTTGTTGTGTTGAGGCTGTGAACTCTGTGCCCCTTGTATCATGGTGGTCTTTTATTAGAAGAATTACTCGGTATTTAATAATAAACTTAATAATAATGTGTGTGTTTTTTCGTAGGTTGTGGCCAACAAGCGGACTGGGGTGGACGTAGATAAGTGGGACTATTTTGTGCGTGATAGTTATAGCTTTGGCATGAAAGTAAGTTCTGTACCTCATTGTTTTTCTTATCTTGATCATCACACAACCACCTTTTCCACCATGTTAGAATATGTACCGTATGTGTCCTAATGCTGTTTTATGCCTGTAAAAGTGCAACAAATACTATTAACTACAAATTGCAGGGTCTCCAATTACAGTATTTAAAGTTTTCTGACAATGAAATTCAAATAGTAGACCATGCACATTGTAAACTGAATGTAAAACCGTTTCCTCAACAAGAAGTGACAAGTTACAGTGTGGTGCTGCGAGATATTTAGGTAGATGTTCATTATACTGTAGTGGTGTACAAACCATCAAGCAGAATTTTAGTTAAATTTTCTTAATACAATATGTACTGTACCGTATATCCAAACACCAGAAATTATCCTGAATGTCCCTAACAGGCAGTCATGCCTGTAGGATCAACTTCTTTCACTTGGAACCAGTTTTCTTTTTTCAACAAACTTTTAACAAATGTTTCACACTTCCCTTAAACTTTTTAAGCACATTCAACAGTTGCCATTTATATAAACTTTCCGTAGTTGCCACTTAACTTTTCCGTCTCCACTATCATGCTCTTTTTCTCGAGACATAGTGTTATAAACAAATTCTTAACCTTATCCCAAACCTTTTGCCTTATCTTCTCTAATAACAACATTTGATCCACACTTCTTCCTTTTTTGAACCCACATTGTTCATTGCCTAATGCTGTACTGTGTATGAGGAGCTCTGAACCATAATCCTCTTAAGTGCCAAGATAGAAAATGGAGGAAAATGTTCAGGCAGGAGTGTGTGACATACAACAGTCTTTCAGAGGACCCTCACCCATATGTACAGGTTACTAATTAGGTTGGGGATACAATGCAATACATAACACGTTTCAGCAACATGTGGCTCTGGCAGGTTATGGTCCAGAGCTCCTCGTATATATTGTATTTGTAAGACATAAATTTCTTAATTTTGCGACAGGTAACATTTAACTACAGTCGCCTCATGAAGTTCTCACGTGTGATTAACGTAGAAGGGGAGGGGTGGCAGATATGTATACCTGACAAGGAGAGAGATAACCTGTACGACATGTTCCATGCTAGACGTACACTTCACAGAACAGCCTATCAGCATCGTGTTGTCAAGATCATTGATTCTATGTAAGAAAATGTTTAATAACAAATGATGCATATGTGGACAACTGAATTTTTTTTTTTAAACTTCATCTGTAGTTGGCAATTATTTATATATATATATATATATATATATATATATATATATATATATATATATATATATATATATATATATAATATATATATATATATATATATATATATATATATATATATATATATATATATATATATATATATATATATATATATATATATATATATATATATATATATATATATATATAATTTTTTTTTTTTTTTTTTACAGGTTAATGGATGCCTTTTTGGGAGCAGATAAGCATATTAAGTATCGTGGGAAAAACAAGTAAGTTTCAAATTTTTTCAGTAATTGTACAATATAGTAGTAATACCCCGCTTAACGCGGTTTCGCTTAGCGCGATTTCACGTATATGCGGTGCCTCGCCAGAGCTGAACTTTCACTTAACACGAGTTTTTTCCACGTATAAATACGCGCAGAGTGTCCGCAGAATGTCTGGCTCGAGACGCTATTTTTAGATTCGCCCCACCCGCCACCCACCCGCCTGCCTGCCTGCCTGCCTGCCTGTTTTAGCTCATAAAATTCATACAAATTACCCGGCCAGAATATAATTTACATTGCTGGAATTCTTAAAATTTGATGATTATTTTGAATATAAACATCATAGATTTTGCATTAGACATACAAATTTTAGATATAATGTTTACTCTGAGTAAATATGTTATCTTTTGTGCAAAATATATGACATTTATATTCAAAATATTCCTGGTCTTACAAGGAATCCAGCAATGTCAATTATATTATCCTAACTTTAATCTGAGGTATTATTTAATACTAAATGTTAAAATTTAGTTTTTTCACCCAACATCTCTTGAAGGGAGGATTGGTGGGGGGTGGGGGGGAGGGTTGGGACGGACCGCGCGGTTGGAAGAGGGGGGGAGGCAAGGTGGGGTACTTTGATTGACAGATAGTGTCGTGAAGAATATTTTTTTTTTATTAACTGAAGATATTTGTTTTAGCTCATAAAATTCATACAAATTACCCGGCCAGAATATAATTTACATTGCTGGAATTCTTACAATTTGGTGATCATTTTGAATATAAACATCATATATTTTGCATTAGACATACAAATTTTAGATATAATGTTTACTCTGAGTAAATATGTTATCTTTTGTGCAAAATATATGACATTTATATTCAAAATATTCCTGGTCTTACAAGGAATCCAGCAATGTCGGTTATATTATCCTAACTTTAGTTTGAGGTATTATTTATTAAAATTTAGTGGTTTTCCCCCCAAAATTTCTCAGAGAGGGAAGAGCCAGCGAGTGTAGTTTGAGAAGAGGGGGAGGGAGTCGAGTCCATTATTTGAATGGACATTAACTTGGCGACTGTATTTCTCTATTTCTCTTAAGTATTAATTGTGTGCATGTACCATCATAAAATTAAGATGTTATTTTTACTAGAACATAGGTATTGTGTTGGAAAAAGTAGAGTTTGGGGGTCCGGCCAGTCTCTATTGGAATTAATCCCATATGTTCTGTTGTTCACTTAACGCGGTTTTCACTTAACACGGTACCCTGTGGGTTCAATTGACCGCGTTAAGCGGGGTACTACTGTATTAACCTTTTCAATATGGGGATACCACTTTTGATATTTTATTTGGCTAATACCAATCAATTTCATTCAGCTGAGAGGGGAACCTATACACATGGGCTTAAGGCTTTAAATATTGGAAAAGTGTAAGTTTTTCTTTCACCTTTGCAAGAATTTTCCTGCTGTTACAGGGTGGTCAATATAAAAGAGAAGAAGATATTCAGAATTAAGTGAATTTCAGATATTTAACATGGTTTATGAAAAATAGATTTGGCTGCAATGGTCCCAAATTTTAATTTCATATAATAATAGTCTTATGAGGTAGATGGTGAGCAGAGTCCACTTGTAGCCACCACCACCGTGTAGCCAGATGCCTTGGTTTACTAAGCCTAATTTCCTATGTTATAAATGAATGAGTAAAAGAAATAATAACAAATTAAATTTAAGGGGAAAACAAGTTTGGTGAATTTTGACTACAGTGGTCTCTTGGTTAACGAACACAATTACTTACAGAAGGTCGTTCATTAACCGAAAATTTTGATAATCGAATCCAGTGTTTCGATGGGATATTGGGTAATTGGTTCCAGCTCACCGAAAAGTACATACATAGTAAAAAAAAAATGCAGTAAAGTACACTTACTTTGAGGTGTGTATGTAGAAGGCTCCTGGTTGATGATGATGATGGGAATTAGAAGTGGGGGTGAAGGAGACGGGAGAAGAGAAGGAAGTGGGCATGGAAGAGAAATCGCCCCATGCTTGATGCCGTCATTTCACCAATCAAATTTCAAATTCACTAGGTGTAATTCAAGATTATATTCTTTAAATCAACACTGCACTGCACTATATATTGTCAATATGTTAAATAAATTTCAGAATGACCAATAATTGTACTGTAAAAAGGTAAAAATACTCTTGTGTTCAAGAGACCCACAAGCAAGATGTTTCTTCCACTGAACAGACACACAAACTGACGCCTTGGTGGGTGAGTGAAGTGGCTGATGGGCACACCAAAAACTAGTTCCCTGTACTGCAATTATGTTAAATAAGTATTAAAATGACTAATAATTTTAATATAAAACTTGGAAAAATATTGAATAACACAACCTTCTTGATATTTACTCCAATGAAAACGAATATAAGCCCTAGAATCGATTACTATATTGGCGGAATAAAATTCCAGCTGGTGAGCAAGCCACAACATGTTGACATGTTTTCGTAAGAATTTCGTTAACCCAATTTTTGTTCGTTAACTGAATTGAAGATTCTTATGGAAGGTAATTCGTTAACCGAGGTGTTCGTTAACCGAGGGACCACTGTAATACCAAAGACAATAATACAGTAATATCTCCATTAGTCGGAATCCATCAAACCCGGAACTCTCCGATAGCCGGAACCGAAATTAGCTCGGAAAAGCTTTCTCAAAGCCGGAATTTTTTAATTTTCCGAGGTCGACAATCGAAAGCATATCCTGAAAATGTCTTGAATAAAGACAAAAGCTCAAGTATTTTGGGGAGGGAGCAGACCTGACTCAATGTCAGGTGGAGGTAGTGTGGGGGATTAGTGGTCTCTTATTACTGTACAGTAATATCTCCGTTAGTTGGAATCCCTCAAATCCGGAACTCTCTGATAACCGGAATTAAAATTTGCTCGAAAAATCATTCCCAAAGCCGAAATTAAAAAAAAATTCTGGCTTTGGGGGAGCAAATTTTCCAAGGTCGAAAATCGAGAGCATTTTCTGAAAATGTCTTGACTAAACACGAAACCTTAAGTATTTTTAGGGAGATTGTGATAAGTATAAGTATAAATGAGTAAAGTTGTATCCCTTCAACATTACATTACATAACATTTTAAAATATGGAGTGAGAAAGGTGTGGGTGATTAGAGAGATGGAGTGGAAAGGAGTGGTAACATGCACCAGTGTTGCCAAGCGATAAGCTCCTTAACAGCTGATCTTTTAATTTGCCTCCATGCAGTCACACAACAAGACCCTCACTGGAGGCTTGTTGTCTTAATTCCCGTGTGTGTGTGTGTGTTTGTGTGTGTGTGTTTGAGCTTGCCAAGCACGTTGTAGATTTGAAGAAGTTGATGAAGAGTTTGTTCAGGAGTCAGGTGGTGAGGTGACATGCCAAGACACTTACACAACACACACATTAACAGCACTACTAAACCATTGTCTTATAACATTTTGCATTATAATTTATATTCTAAAATTACAGTAATTGATATGTGATAGCTTGACTGGGCTACTTTTGCACTTAGACAACTGATCAATGAATAAACCAGGGCATATGGAGACTCATTATACACTAGTGATGTCACAAAGCTTTGAAACTGCAACCACTTAAATTATCACGACCTGTACTTAAAGTAATAAGTTAATTTCTAAAATTATTATGTCTGGTGCAAAATAAGGGATATTTATACTCAAATTAATTGCAATCTTACAAGAATTTCAGCAATGCAAGTTATATTCTCCTAAGTCAAATCAGTTACATTTTATAAGCAAAACAATAAAACCTTCTGCCTTTATCCTTAAGTACTGTATGCATTAATCTCCCTCCCCCCCACCCCTCCTCCCAGCCTGAGGAAAAGGGTCTGTTGGGGGTAAAAGTGACCGCAACACCCTCCCCCCAAACGGCTAATTCACCGTGTGTGTGTGTGTGTGTGGGTGGGTGGGTGGGTGGGTGGGTGGGTGTTTCCATGAGTACATATGTTGCCTCCCGCGCAGTCTCACTTTTTTTCTCTACCAATTCATTGATCACTTTTATTGTACGTACATTACATAACATTAATTAAAAGATACATACAGTATTTTTTACATTAATTTTACTACTGTACATCTACAACCATTATTAGTCAAGGCTCTAATACTCGCTCATTTCATCCCAAATACTATTGGAAAATTGCTTTGGAAAAGTCCCTAAATGGCAACTGTAAGCTGATGGGAATCAGCCATGTCCATATGGTAGGAGGTACTGACTGCACCCCCCCCCCTCACCAAGAGATCACTACACATAGGTGTATAGTTCATGAAACACAAGTCAACTTGTGTCATGATGGATGACTCATCAATGAGTAATATGGTGTAAAATCAAGAGATTTTCAGGGAATTTTTTTTAATACAGTATATGTACGTATACAGTATTTATGAAAAGAATACAAATAATAATAAAGATGGACCATCCAACGTCTTGCAATTTTAAATCTATTACTTCTAATTTTCATTAATGTATTTTATAAATTTTGAGAAAAGGGTCCTAGCTATGAATACAGGTTGACAACCCTTTATCTGAAATTTCGAAAACCGAATAGCTCGGAAAATTGAATTTTTTTTTTTTTTTTTTTTTTTTATACATACAGGTATTAGCCCACCCGGGCACAGGTCACTGACCCACATTGGGGCCTGGGGGCGAAAATGTAATAGTAATAATAATTATTGTAATAATAATAATAATGATGATAATAATAATTATTCATAGTAAATAAAAATTTTAATAAAAAATACACAAAAATAAAATATGAATGATAACAATAATATTAGTAATGATAATAATAAAATAATAATAATAAAATTAATAATAATAGTAATAACAATAATACTATAATATTAAAATAATAATACAGTTGTACCCCACTTAACGCGGTCAATTGAACCCAGAGGGTCCCGTGTTAAGTGAAATCCGCGTTAAGTGAACAACAGAACATATGGGATTAATTCCAAAAGAAACCGGCCCGACCC